TTCTATACAACGAAAGGAGACTGCGACCACACAAAAATCTACACCATCTTGGGAAAATCTAAAGCTGCATTTTAAAATATATTTTTAGCTATTGTTACGTTCTATCAGCAAATATAATTAGTAACTAACTGTTGCTTCTAGAGGTTCCTTTTATCTTAATTATATCCTAATTCTAAGCATTTATACATTTTCAGACTACCTCATTTATTTATTTATTTATTTATTAGCCATCTCGAGAGTTGGCCGAGCAGACGTGTGAGCAAGTAAAGATGTTTAAGCGGTTTCTTAAAGACCCCTGTCCACGGGAACTGCTCATAATTGGAGGTGCCAATAGTCAAAGACAAGTGGAGGAACTGGGGCGAGGTGTAAGTTGTTCTTTATTTTCATAGCATATTATGCTATTATTTTATAATCTAGCAGAAGCAAATTAGGAGCCCTCTATACACCAGATTCATTCATGGATTCTCCTGGATACATGCACATCCAAGTTCTTTTGTTGAACTATTGTCTGTTCTATACTTATCTTAATCAGAATTCAACCTTATCTGCAAAAGTTGGTTATGGAAAAATTCTATAATAATTTAATGTGATTCTACTTTTAATTCTGTATAAAAATTGGTTAAGGGACTTATCAGTTAGTCTCATTAAGAACTGAAAGAGGACTGCTTTAGATTGGGAACCGTTGGTTGTGCGAATAAGTTCTCTGTTGGCCGTCGTGCTACCACGATGAATCCGTTTAGTACCAAACAAATGTTCAGCACGGATTCATTGGGGTCGCTGGATGGATGACTGAGGACTTAGTCGCACAATCCGACAGTTTCCACTCCGAGACAATCCTTAGGTGTCTTTAGAGGCCAATTCAAAAATCCTTCCATTAACTTTTCTTTCGAAATAAAAAATCGAATCGCATTCGCAATCAAACTTGAGTTTATACATTGAAATAAATTTTATTATAGGCATACTAGAATAAAAATTATGGACAGCCTTTTAAATAGATTTATTTTTAACTTTTTCAAGGTAGATATTGTGGTGGCTACTCCAGGTCGCCTAGATGATCTTATTTCTACAGGAACTCTGCTACTGTCACATTGCCGATTTTTTATCCTCGATGAATGTGATGGTCTCCTTTCCGCTGGCTACGGTGATATGATCCAACGCCTTTGGGATCAAATACCCAAAGTCACGCCAGATGGAAAGAGACTTCAGATGGTCGTCTGCTCAGCAACCCTTCATTCTTTTGAAGTGAAGAAATTGGCGGTCAGTTGAGATTCAGGATGCATATGTTCCCATGATTTTTATTTGTGTACTCGCAATGAGAATCGAAATACGCCAATATAATTGGTTACAAAAGTCACTTACAAGTTCAAATAATTATGTTGGATGGACTTTCGTTTCGTATGAAAGTGCATTAAGAAGTGATTCGTAGGTCGATCTCACCAAAAGAGGACGGATGAAACCCGTTGTACTAGAGCCGTTTGGCTTTTATACAACATTCAGGTTGACGCAGTCCAGGAAAATAATAAGACCACATGAGAATGGCGTTATGACTAGTGTTGTAAGAGTAACTAGGTTGAATATTTTTTAGAAATGCTAAGCAATGGTGATCTATGATATAGAGACTTACTTTTATCGAATCTGGTCGCTTTGCGGGTAGAGATATTAAAAAGAAGAGAGTGGTTTGTAGTGACCTATCCCTGCATGTTTCCAATTCAATGTTTAGTTTTTGTCACATCTCACATGTTGCCATGGCTCAACATCCTTTGGCGCATAGATCACGTGAGTATGTGACTCATCTTGACTCTTTATTTCTCGTCGCCCAATCAAAGCTTGGCACCGTATCGTCTAATCAGAAGTTGACATGGAAAGCTACGCTATGGTATATTAAGCAGCCAGTATTTTGAGATGTATTCACCCTATTTCGTCTAAGGTGATGAAGGACCGGTTGTAAAATTTTCCCACAATGAGCTGACGTTTTCATTGTATTTCACATAGCCTTGATTTCCCAAAAGTTGTTCTTATCCAGGGTGGACTGCAGTTCCGATCTCGCATCGGTCTTATCAACCCCTTCAGCGGGAGTCGAACCGCGACAGTGCAGGATGGGAACTTGACACACTAATAATTCGGCTACACTGCCACGAGTACTCTTGAGTCACAGGGCATAAGTGAATTTCAAGGAAGGTCAGGCCTCTT